TTCGTCAACGCCACCAGGATGGAATGACAGATACTCGGTTACATCGTACACCTAATTTCATTGTTGAATTACCAATCAAATGAGCAGCTAGTGAACTTTTTTTTTTCAGAATTTTCCAAAAAAAATATGAAAGTTCCTACATAATTTTCTCTTAAAATTTTAATTGTTATAAAACTTAGGACAATTTTTTAGTATACAAAGAGAACATCAAACAGGTCCTAGATCTAAACTGGAAGTACGCAGTCCTCCGGGGGGTGGGGGAGGGGGGGTGGCGGGATAAGGAGCCTTCCGCTCCCTCTCCTCCCCGAGAGGCTTAGGTAGCAATTATTTTACTGTAGAAAAGTCTAATTGAGCCCCCTCCCCTTCTCGCCCCCCCCCCCGCTCTCCAGGAGTCTTTGAAGGAGGGGAAGGGGAGGGAGTGTAATGACCAACGAAGAAGGTGAGGTAAAAAATCGTTTCTCCTCCTCTCTCTCAGGAGACCGCCCTGGATCCGCCTATGAGTTCAGCTGCGCCAGTTGTGTAGAAGCATTCCAGTAACATCACTAATTGTCAGAAAATCGCTGACAGTCTTGTTATCTTAAATATGTAGGGTATTTAAGTTATTTTCGATCATCATACCTGATCACCCAGCAGCGTCCAGCAGTCGTTCACACTTGCATGCTTGCTCAATTCCACGTGATCGATGCCCGATTTTACCCTTGCTGCCGTGCTCCTTGACGCTGTCAATCGTATCCAATCCATAAGACTTCGACCTGGTCGCAGTACCACCCGTGTGCGACCTGTTTCGGAAGGAGCCAACTGAAAGTGAGAATTAAAAAACTTGCAAAAAAATGGATCTCTTCAACAGAGGAAGGGAAAAGGAGGATGGAAACTCTGAAGAGAGCTTCCAACGTTTAAAATAAACGCTCCAGAAAGCAAGACAATAATAAGAAGAACGCAAATCGTAGGAATCAAAACAAAAATACTAAGACTGCCTGGGCAATCGACGTGGGCGATTCGACATTCTATCGCTGGAATGCTCTCACTCACTAAAGGATGAAGCTATGCCCTCCTTTAGTTCCTTAGTTGTACATTTCTAGTTAGCACCCACTGCCTGTTATATGTAAGCAAACGCGAATCCAAAGCGACTTTCTGGCGGAAAGATGGAGGCAAGAGGGAGGAAGGTAAGGGGGTGTGGAGGAGTTTTTTTTTCAGTTTTAGACTTTTTGTAGCACTGGTGCCTGCTGCTGGGAGATGGTCGAAAGACCCCCTCCCCCTTCCTGGACCCACCTATAAATGTATATGCGTCACCTCTTCGATGCCCGCCCCACTGGGTTAATTCAATCTTTCATGAAAAAAATACGCTGTTCAAAACATTATAAAGTAAAACGTGGTATTACTAGGAGTAAGACTAACTGCTACTACCGGGAATACCAGGATCGCTCCCGCAACCAGTACCGGATATCCTAAAGTGCTATTACAAGCTATTTCAATTTGTCAAAAAAGCACTGAACACTTTTCGATGAAAGGAATTTTGCTAGAAATTCATCCTCGGCCATGATGAGTATTATTTCTTCAACGACTCCCCTTTTCCCGGTCTTTCTTCTCTATCGTTCCCACACATAGGCGGATCCAGGGCGGTCTCTCCCAGGAAACCGCCCTGGATCCGCCTATGTGTGGGAACGATAGAGAAGAAAGACCGGGAAAAGGAGAGTCGTTGAAGAAATAATACTCGTCATTCGTCACTACTTCCCCCCCACCCCTCCCTCTTGGGCAACTTCAAACTCGCCGCATTACCCCCCTCCCCTTCAAACATCT